GAGGGCAGAGCATTGCAGTGAGACGATCGGGGAAGAAGAGGAGGAAATGATATGAAGGGAAGCAGAGGAGAGGAGGGCGAGGAAGAAGGGAGAGATACGGTCGGGGAAGGTGAGGAGGAAAGGAGGAGGGAAAAAGAGAGAGAGAGAGAGGAGAGGACAGAGGAGGAGAATGACACGAGGAGGGCGAGAGAGGACGAGGAGGGAGTCAGAACAGGAGGAAGAGGAGAAGGATAAACTGGGAAAGGAACGAGGGGACGAGTGGGGGGCTGCGATGTGCGAAACTGTCGCTACCTTCGTGGGCCGCTGGCGGGTCCAGCGGAGCGGCGTGATCCGCAAACCAGAATGAGGCCTCGCCGTCCCAGGGGGCTTCGAACAGCGAAGCTGTCGCCACGTTCGTGACCCCCTCGTCATTGCTCTTTTGTCAGATCGTGATCGCCCTCTTTCCGATGATATGAGTCGCAAGAGTGATGCCGTGAATGGGGAACACTGGTCTGCGGCCTCACGTTCTTTGGCGAAGCGTTCAAGGATACTGCGAGTCCTTCAAGGCGTAAGTTGGAAATGAACGGTCCTGGGTATAGTCGCCTTTTGTGTACAAAGGGTTGGGTGCGTCTCCCGGTCGGTTGTTTCTGGAAGGTCTCTTGGGAACCCAGGGGAAGCTATCCTTGGGCGTTTCTGGGACCTGTTGGGCCTTGATTGGGGCACCTTAAGCTCGAAGACGGCCCAAGAGCGCGTCAGGAAGGCCGTTCGTCGCCTCTCCTTGTCAGAAGCCTCGCGATCGCCAGGAGTGGCTCGGGGCGTCCGGGGAGGGGACTCTTGGAAGCTTTTTGGGGCGTCCTGGGGGCCTCATGGGAGCTTCTTGGGGGCCGCCTGGGGGCCTCTTGGGGGCCGCTTAGGGGCCTCTTGGGGCCCCGTGGGGCCTCTTGGGGGCCTCTGGGGGCATCTCATGGGCCTCTTGAAGCCGAAGGCTTGAAATTTGAACTTGGTTTTCGTTTTCTGGGACGCCTGTGCGGCCCGTCCAGATGGTCTCTTGGGCTGTATTGGGGGCCCTTGAGGCACTCTTGGGCTCTCTTTGGGCGTCTTGGGGCCTTCTTGGGAGCCTCTTGGGCCGTCTTGGGAGTCTCTTGGGCCGACTTGGACGTTATGAAAGGCCAAGAGGCGAATATGTTGATAATGTACTTTTTACGATGGGAATGTGGTTATTTCGGCCTCGCGGGGCCCTTTTGGGGGGCCTCTTGGGTGCCTCTTGGGCCGTCTTGGGTCGCCTCGGGGCGGTCGCGGTGTCATCTGAGGCTATCTTAGGCCGCCGTCCTCGGGCGTCTTGGGCCGCTGGGGGGCCATGAAGAGCGTTTCGCCTCATCGCTCGGTGACGTGGAGGGCTTGGAAGTCCGCTGGAAAGGGGCCCGGGGGCCGAGGGCGGCCGTCCAAGAAAGTATGTGGGGGGGGGTGTGGGCCATCCGGGGGGCAATGTCCCTTACAGGATGTATAACTTTAGGGATATGGCGACCTGCCTAAGAATCTCAACATTGGCGTCCGAGAGGTCCTGGCCATCGTGCAAGTAGATTGATATCATGGTAATGCCACGCTTGATGCCCCAGTGCACGTGGGCCGCGAGGACCCTGCCTGGAATCAATTCGGCTGAAGACCTCCCTGGAGCGAGGGTCACGCGCACCCTGGTCGGTGCCAGGATGGCCATACCTCCATGCGTTCCTCCTTTGGCTGACGGAGAGGCTGGGGCCGAAAGGCCTGCACATCCTGCTCGAACTGCTTGATGCTGGACGTCTGCGAGTCGCTCTTGGTCTGCATGGTGTTCTTGTGCGCATATTACACATGCCTGAGCCCACGGCAACTTCAGCATCTCAATTCGCGGCCCATGCGATGTCACATTGGCCGTCGCGATCGAGCTCACGGTCCTGCTGCATGACGAGTCAGGATTGGACATTGCAACAGAGGCCTTCTCTGGAGTTGTTGGCCTTTGTAATGCAGTACCCCTCGCAAGTTGAAATTCCATGGCGCAGATCGCCACCATGATGAGGCGCAAATATCTGCAGTTGAGGCCCTTGACAGTCCTCTGGCCTGGCCCGTCATGATGGTCCGAGGGAGAACATGGATGGCTCAGCGTTCTGGGGCCCTTGCGAGGTCTGGTGGCTCTGTGGTTCCCAGGGCCCGTCTGACCAGCAGTCCTCGCCAGGACCTCGGCCCCAGGGCCCCATTCATCCGTCCGATTCCTACATCTCTCGATTGCAGGGGCGGCGCTGGCACGGGGATGGCATTTGGCCTGCATCTGATGTTAGACCTCACTTTCGCGTGGTAGATCCTGGCCCTGTTCCCAGCGTACATTGCGAGGCAGCTGATGCAGAAGTGCCCGAAGTAGACGTCACTACTGACCAACAGCCGCATAGTACACCTTGCCAGCCCAGCAAGTGGCGACGTAGAAACCCATCCCCGGCTCGAGGAGCACCTAGTCATGGAATTTGTTCCAGCACGTGGCGGCTGAGCCTGCGATTGCCAAAACTGGCCAGCAGGACTTTGCTCTCTGACTGGCGACGAATGAACCCTGCCCAGGCTCGAGGAGCATCTGGGCATGGGATGTTGTCCAGCACGTGGCGACTGAGTCTGCGTTTGCCGAAACTGGCCCGCAGGACTTTGCGATCTAACGCCCTGCAGCAACGTGCGTTCTAACGCCCGTTCTGACATCGGAAAATGAAGCCCACGTTGTTCGCTGCAAACGTCGTGAGCTTCCCATTGTAGAAAATCCAGAACGCACATCGTAGTCAAACATGTGATGCCAGCGATCCAGATGACGCTGACCTTCCGACCGCGGCTGGGTCGAGGCTGTAGTATACCTCTTGCTGGCACACGCCGCTCGCTGCAAACTCCGTGTGCGCTGCGTCCTTGGCGTACGTTTTTTTTTGTTCTCCAAAGCTGCATCGAGCTCAACATGAGGAGGAGATAGAGCTGTGGTCGAACGACCCAGCCCTTATTGTGTCTTGCGCCGCTTGGCCAGTGCTTCAGCAGCTTCAGCATATCGCTTGCACATCTCACGCACCTGGTCGTCGTCCTCAGGTGGTTCTTCATCAGTGCATGCTTAAATTAATTGACGCAAGCTACTCATATCATCAGTATCCATTGGCGCAGGAACTCGCACGGCTTCATCTTGTTTAGCAGCGCGGTCAGGTCCTTGGGACCCCCCTGGCTGTTGACCTGGCGGTCCTGATTCGGCAGCTTGTTGTTGTGCAGACGCCGAGGAGGCCTTGGCTGCATCTGCTTTGGCCTGTAGCTGTCGAAGTGCCTCGAACGTGGACTTGGCCTGGTCAAGGAGAGCGGCGTCGGCCCCTGCGGATTCGAAAAGCTGGCCGAGCTTGTGGACTGGCAGGTCCAGGGCAGGCACCATGGTCTTGAGAGAGTACGATTCTGGAAGAGGCGTCGGCAGCTGTGCCGAGACCGCGAACCGCTGATGCTCCAGCTCAGTGATGTCAGTAGCCAGTGTGTGAATCGACTTGACGCCGTCGATCTTGGCTTCGAGCTCCACCTTCTGGATCTCCAGATCTGCCAGTGTCTCCTCCTGCTGCAACCTGCTCTTGAGCAGCTCGCCGGTGCGAGTGGTGTAGTGGTGCATTTGGGCGGAGGGCGGCTTGCTGCTGACGATCTTAGACTTGATCGCCGTTCGCTCAGCTTCCAACTGCTCTCGCGCCGCCGCCGCAGCAGGCTCCGGGAGGTTGCCCAGCGCCCTAAGGGTCTGGCTGATCTCATTGAGGCGCTTCTGGTCGGTGTCGGTCTTGTCACTGGCGTCCGCGCCCAATGTCTGCCCATTCTTTGCCGCCAGAACTTGCTCTCGAAGCTTCGCAATCTCAAGGTCCTTGGCCTTAAGCTGCTTGTCTCTATCGATTGCATAGTTGGTGACTGCTGCCTTCTGCCTCTGCTTCTCACGTTCCAAGGCTGGGGCCCTGAAACTCGGCGCCGTCTGCAGAGGCTTGGGGCCTCCAAACGCAGCGCCTTTGTTGCGTTGGCAGCTTGAGCAAGCATTGAGGTCACCTCTGTTCCACCACTCCTCACCTGTCCGCGGATGAACACACCGTCGGCATAGCCGCGGCGCGGCCCATGCCTTGCGAGAACCGATCTTCGGCACGCGTCCGCCATCCACCATGAGTCAGTGTCTGGTAACAGAACAAGATCGGGAGGTACGGCCCCGAACGTGGAATGCGTTGCGAAGCAAAGCGGCACCTCCAGCCTGGGCAGGCACTGGGGAGGTGCAGGAGCGGCGGGGGCCGTCGCCCCCCCCCCCCCCCCCTGCCAAAATGTCAAGTCCGAGCCAACGCTGCGGACTTGAGCCAAACTGGCTGCGGAAGAGGTGGGGGAGGAGAGGAAAAAAGGAGGAGGGGGAGGAGGTGGTGGAGGAAGATGGGGAATCAGGTGCGCCGAAGAGCTCCGTCCCCTCAAATCGCCACCGTTGTTCTTTCCCACCCCCCTCCTCCTCCTCCTCCTCCTCCTCCTCCTCCTCCTCCTCCTCCTCCTCCTCCCCCTCCTCCCCCTCCTCCTCCTCTGCCATTTTGGCTCAAGCTTGGGACAGGCCCAGTTCTGAGTGCGGCAGCCCTTCTCACGAGGCTCTCCAGCTGTCAGAAGCTGGCGGACACCTTCCCCACCCCCGCTTCCCCCCGCAGTTCATCGCCCCCACTCTCCCTCCGCGAGAATGTGGCAAAGGCAGAGCTGGCTCTCGCGCTGTTGCTCGCAACCCTGGGAACTTAGCTCGGCGCGACCCACCTGGTGACGACCCCACCTCCGAGGAGTTCCCCCGTCAGCTATGCAGAGGGGGGTTCTCGTCCACGCGCGCGGCCCTGTCATCCGAGATCGGCTCCTCTTTGGCCCGCGCGATCAACGCGAACCGCGGCGCGCTCTTGGGCATGCTCTTCAAAATTCAAGCCGCCGTTGCCAAGCAATCGACCGATGTGCAGCAGCAGGTGCAGAATGCCATCACTCCGAGGCTGGGCGCCCTCATTCGCAAGATGCAGGCCCAGCTCGACGCTCACTTTGGCCCCATCGCGTCCGCCCAGCGCCGCCTCCACTCCCGTGATTCCGAGCTGGCGGAGACCGTGCCCAGATGGATACATTGCGCAAGGAGCTCGCGCTCGCCAGTGAGAAGGCCGCCAGGTGGTCACCCCGCCCTCCTTCGATAGCGAGGCCGACTCCGCCATCCTCGTCGCCGTCTCCCAGAAGGTCACCACCGTCACCAGCGCGCAGCTGGAGCTGTTCCCCTGGCTCGAGCCCCTCGGCTTCGATCCCTCCGACTTCAAGATTGAGCCGCGCTCGGCCGCGCCGTCCAAGCGTTTCGAGATTGTTTTGTTTTTCCTTCTCCTCTGGGGCCCCCAGGAGCTGCTGCCCGCAAGGTGGCCGAGGCCCTCTCCAATATCAAGTCCAACGGTGCGTGGAAGGAGTTCTGGGTTACGCCGCCTGGCTCCGAGCGCTGCCGCCTCCACCTCGGCCCCGACAAGAGCCCCAAGCAGATCAAGCTCGAGGACAATATCATGCATGTGCAGGTCTTCCACGGCGACGAGCCCCCGAAGATCTTCACGGGCATCCCCCAGCTCATCAAGAACGACATGTCCGGCGCTTTGCTGCGCGAGGCCACCGGGCTTCTCGCTGCGCCCGCGGACCCGAGCCAGCGGTCTCTTGAGCGACGCCGACCTATGCCAACTCCAGCGCGCGGCCGACGCTCAGTGGCCTGCGCTGCGGTTCGCGACCTGGAACGCCCTTGCTCTGCTCCAGGCCGGTGGTGACATGGCCGCCCTGAAGCGCAACTGTTTCCTGCGGCTTCGCCCTGCGGCCACCGCTATCTCCCTCCAGGAGTTCCAACAGGACCCTCTTCAGCGCACTGGCTTCGTCCACCCGCGCGCGCCGAACTTGGCCGTGCGCTCCAGTTTCTTCGGCTCGGCCCCCGAGGATCGGATCCGCGGCGGCGTTGCTGTTCTCCTTCCTCCTCTTGCCGTGAGGGGGGGCGATTCGCGGACTGCGTCTTCGCTGAGGGTGCTCGTTTTTGGGCGCGCGTTGATACTCGTTGTGTCTTCTGCTCGCTCTACTCTCCACATCTTCAATATCCACAAGGATGCACTGTCTGCCGCTGATGCGCAGCCCATATTGGAGGAGGTTCGCCGCGCCAAGGCCGCCGCGGACCTTGACCCCGAGCGCGCCGTGGACGCGCTCGACGGGGACTTCAATTTTGCCGCCCTCGAGTCGGTCCGCCTGCACATGCCAGAAGCTGCCGTCCGTCGCGGAGGGCGCCATTACCGTGCTCGCACCCCAAAGAGGCGAGAGATTTTGGCGACCCTGATGGAGGTGGAGTGCGATCAGCTGGTTCGCCGAGAGAGAAGCATGAAATGCGGTGCCATCTATCGTCTCTTCTGTTCCCTCGCGGGCTGGCAGGTCTTCCAGCGTTCCATCGGCGTCTCCACCGTCGTCTCGGCCGCCTCCGTCTGTGACGAGAAAATCTCGGATCACGCTGCGTTTGTGGTTGCGTTCTCCCAGGCCATCGCCAAACACATCTTTCGGGAACCCGCTTTCAAGAAGCGCGCGTAGAGCCTCGCCGCGGCCGCCGATTGGCTCGCCCTCTCGCGCCCCAGGAAGCTCGAGCATCGCTCGATTTTATTCCAATTCGCGGCGGCCGAGTCGAGGGGCACGCCGGTTCGGGGCCGACCTGGCCGCCCCCAAGTTCTCCTCCAGCTCTGTCGTACTCTCGCTCGTGTTGTCTGGCGTCAAGATGCTGTCATGGCTCTCCGTATTTGTGCCCCCCATCCGCTGGCGGGCGACTTCGTTATTGCACCTGTTGGCTCGGTCGAGCTCCGACGCCCCCCGGGCTCTCGGGCGCGGCCGATGATTCAGGCGGAAGCAGCGGAGGCGTCGGAACGCGTGCTCAGTTATGTGCCCAGCTGCGGGCGCTGGAGCGCCGTGCGCCCCTGCGCTCGCTTCTCAACAACAAATTTCTCTGACTGCGGCTGCTGGTGAGGGTGGCGCTCGGATCGAGGGCCCTGCGGTCCGCCCCCGAGCCCCGGCCGCCTTCTGGATTCCAGCTTTTACGCGCAAGTAATTATTCGGATGCTGCCGCTGGCCCCGTCTACCTTCGTGAACACCTCCCCCCCCTGCTGATGTCCATCTCCCGCCGCCCTCCCGTGCGATGCTGCGCTCTACTCTGACAAGGGCCCGCCGCTCGGCCCCCTGTCCAGATGCTCTTCCCCACGCGGCTGGGGCGGCGCCGCCCGTTGCTATCGATGTTCGCTGGGAGGCTCTCGAATGGCTATGTTCTGGGCAGTCGTTGTTCGATGGCCGGCGATGCCATCCAGATTCTTACCCGAGAGCGTTTTTGGACCTCGAGCTATCCTCGGGGGCTGCGCGCGGGCCCCCGACACAGCGCGGGCCTTGGGGCTCGGGAACTGCGGCGCGATGCTGATCTCGGCCGCCATGAACCGCGCGACCTGCCCCGCCTTCCAGGCTCGAGCCCCGCAGTGCCAGGGGGGCTTCGTTCCAGGGGGGAACTTCGGGAACAGCGCCCCGGAGCTCGACGTTGCCGGCCGTGTCGTTTCGGTTGGGGAACCTGGGTCCAGCGCGATTCCCTTCTTGTTCAGCCTCGCCCTCGGGCGGGCCTTCCCGCCCCTGAAGCAGGACTTCCTCTTCTTGCCCCTGCGGGCCCTTCACTTGCCCTGGGCTTTCCTCTCGCCCGTTGAGGCCCTCAATCCGTCGATCCAAGGGATGGTCATGAGCGCGGGTGTCCTCTCCCACCTGTACTGGATCCAGACTCGCATTTGCCAGGGTTGTGCGCTCTCGGGGACGTTATTTGCTTTCAGTAACTACCTTTGCTTTCCTTCGCCATCTTGCCGACTTGGTCGAGGGCCCCCAGCGTGGCCTTGCTCGCGCGCGCGCGGATGACATTGGTGGGGCGGTTGCCGACGTGGCCGATCTCCGCGGCGTGCGCGGCGTCGCGCATCAGGCCTTCAGTTTGGCCAACCTATGTCTGGCGGCCTTCAAGTGCAAGGTCGCCCCCTGTCGGGCCCCTTCTCGCCCGACCTGGCGCCGCGTGTCAAGACGGCCATCGCCGACGAGGTTCCCGATTGGGGCCAGTTCGAGGCCTCGCCCTCCCTCCTGCACCTGGGCATCTGGCTGGGCCCTGGGGTGGATCTGTCAACGTGCTGGCTCGAGCCTATCTCTAAGATTAGGCTCCGTGCCTGGGCGATCGGTGGGGGCGCCGCGCCTGCCAGCCTGTCTTCCATCCTGTGCATCGCGCGGGCGGTCACCACCATCACCTACGTCGCGCAGTTCTGCTGGCCGCCCAACTCCGCGCTGCTGCCCGAGCTCTCCGTCCTCGCGCAGGTGTTCTGCATCCCGCTCGGCGCCCTGGACCGGGCGTCGCGGTCTCAGCTCGAGCTGTGGGGTTGCTCCCGCACCGTCCGCTGGGCGCGCGTCGCCGTGGCCTCGATCACGCGCGCGGCCCTCTGCACCGTCGCCCGCTGGGCTGAGTGGATCCGCCAGCTGCGCGATGACTGGCGCGCGCTCGACATGCTCGCCTCGGGTCGGCCATTCCCGTCGTTCTGGCACGCCCTGGCGCTTGTCGAGATCCCGGATTCTGCCGCCGCGGGCCGCGCTCCCGCGGGGCCGCCGGCCCCCCTCGCGCCGCCGGCGGCTGCTGCCGCTCGCGAAGCTCTCCACCCACCCGCTGGGTCTCGGCCTCACCCCCAGCGCGCCGCGCATGCTGCTCTGCGCCGCCTCGCCATCGCCGACGCCCCGCTGGCCCCCCTGCTGCCCCGCCGTCTCGCCAAACTCGCGGGTCGCCGCGCTCGCGACCTCACCGCCATCGACTTGGGCGCCTGTGCCGCCGCCCTCCGCCGCTGCCCCTGCTCGCGGGCCTGGGCGGTGCTCCGGGCGTGGCCGGGCGCGTGGCTCGCATCATCGCAGATCATCTCGCCGCTCGGCCGTCGGCGCTGCGCGCGCGGCTGCCTCGGGCACCCCGATTCTCTACGCCGCTACGCGAGGTGCCCCGTGATGTTCGGCGCACTTCGGTGCGCGCTCTCGCGCCCGACCCCTCTGCCCGGGCTGCGGCGCTGGCCCCTGGCGCCGCCCTCCCTGGTCGCGCGCAGCTGCGTGTGCGCCGCCTACAGCATGTGCAGCGAGACGCGCCTCGTCGAGTCCTAGCCGCTGCCTCCCGCCCAGCCGCGCTCCGCGGCCATGGCGGGCGCCCGTGCCGCGGCGCTCGCGGCGCCGCGCGCCCCGACCGAGCAGGGGCGGCTGGCCCTCCAGCACCGCGACTTCTTCCTGCACGGGCCGCCGCTGCAGCCCCCCTCATCGTCGCCGTTGAGCTCTGCGCCTTCGTCGCCGCGGCTGACGCCTGCGATCTCCAGCTCGCGTTCCTCTCCGCGGTCAGCCTTTCGGCGGCCCCCCTCGCCTGCGGCGCCGTGGTCCCTGGCGCCTGCTGGCGCTGCGTCTTGCTTGACACCGCCGCCGCCGCCTTCTTCGCCATCGACCTGCTCGACCCTGGCGGCCGCGCCTCCGTCGCCAGCCTCGCCATCGACTGCCCCCGCAGCGATCGCTGCGCCTCCGCCGCCATTGGACATCGACGACCCCGACCTCGAGGAGACCAAAGAGCACCTGCTGCAGAACGGGGTGATCTTGATGGGCGGCACCCTCGGTCGCTCCTCTTCGACGGCGGCTCAGCCCCTTGGCGTTGGATCGCAAGTCCCCTTCCTGTGTTCGGGCTCACCGTCGCCCATTGCTGGGCGCGTTACCCCCGCGGGTGGTCGCAGCGGCGTCAGAGCGCAAGTCCCGGCTCATTGTCGCCGCGTGCCGGAGGAATCTGTGGCGGCGCTCTCGCCATTGGCGTTGGATAGCAAGTTCCGTTGTCGTGTTCTGGCTCACCGTCGCCACCTGCTAGAGAACTCGATGGCAGCCTCTCTGCCAATGGCGCTAGATCACAAGTCCCACTGTCGTGTTCGGGCATACCGTCGCCACCTGCTGGAGGAAATCGGCGCGCCGCTGTCTGCGGTGGCGTTAGAGCGCAAGTCCCGTTGTCGTGTTCGGGCTCAGCATCGCCACTTGCTGGATCGATTGGCGCCAGACCATTGGCTCCGACTTCCGCGAGGAGACCGATGGCGCCCCCAGCGCCGCTGTCCACCAGTGCGAGCATTGCGCTCTGGACTCCACGGATTCGAGGTGGATCCTGGACGGCTGCCCCCTCCTTCGATTTCCTCGTCCTGCGTGTTTTCCTCCTCTTCGGGCAAGATCCCCATCGACTTCTCCGGCCCCGAGGCCGCCCCCCCCTGCCGCCGCGTCGACTCCCATTGGCGGTGGGCGAGCCGATCTGGCAACATGTTACTTCAACTGCCGTGCCGAACCAGGCGCGTTTTTTTCCCCATCCCCGCTCTTCGCTCCTGAGCCCCCCTGCCTCTGCTTCTGCCTGCCCCCCGCTGGCCCCCCCACCCGCCGCTCGCGCCGCCGTCTATAGTGCTGCTTTGTGTTGCGCGCCGCGGCCAGCTGCCCCCGCGCCTCCTTCCCCGTCCTCTTCCCCTCCTGAGTCTTCGATGCCGCTGAGCCTCTGCCGCCCACCCTTGCCCCCCCCCCCCGCCCTGCCGCCTCCGCCATCGTTCGATGCAGACCCGTTGGCCCTCTCTACGCTGTCTCGGTCTAATGCTTTGGGCGGCCCCCCGCCCCCGTTGATGCTGGCGCACCTCGCCCGATGCGCTGGGCCCCTCATCCTCTCCCCCCCTCCCCGCCCCATCCTCCTTTATGCGGGGGGCGCCGACGGCCCGCCGTGCATCGCAAATTCTAACGGCCTTAGGGCCATGGGGGCGCCCTCGGAGGGCTGCCAGATCCAGGATGTTATCGGGGCCAAGTACATCTCAGATAACGTCTTCTCACAGGGTTTTAATTTCTTCAAGTTTGGAGCCGCCGATGCCCTGGCCCTCCAGAGCGACGGCGAGCGCGAGAAGTGGCCCCGTGAAGCCCGCGGGCCCGCCAGGGTCGCGGAGGTTCTCGGCCTGAACTCCCCGGGCCGAATCGCGCATCTGGCCGGGCAGTTCTCCGCCGCCCAGCGCCGCGTCCTCGCGGGGCGCTTGAAGCGAGGCCCCGGGCGGACCTCCCCAGGCGAGGCGGGGGCTGCATTGTGCAATTTTCCAAATGCGCTTAGAAGGGCACCGGCGGCGCGGCGATCTGGATGAATGCGGAGCTGCCCGTCAAGGGCGCTCGATGAGGCAAACAGCATGTGTCGCAGCTATATGCTAATCCGAGCAGGCCGTTGTTGCGTTTCCACGTGCCAGGCTCACGTGTGTTATTGGTTTCTGCCCATGGCCCCCATTTGGCACGCATGGAGCTTGCGCTCGTTGAGACATTGCGGCTCGATGCCCAAAGGGTCGCGCGATAATACTTGGCCCCGGGTGCGCAGCCAGTTTTCACGTTCGATGCGACGCGGAGGCGGGGCCCATATGTTCTGCCCAGATTGGTGATGCGGTGGCTGTGGAAGAGAATTTCCCTGGAAAGTGCTTGCGAGCGTTTCGCCCTCGCTTTCAGAGTGTGGCGCCGTCTACCTTTCTACCTGCCCCTCCCGGGAATGCGCATCGTGCGCATGCGCGCGCGAATGGTAGGACATGTAAGCGATTGGACTACGTACTTGTGCCGCAGGATTGGTTGGGCATAGTGGCAGCTGCGCGGTCTGATAGCCATGGTCGATCTCGCTAGCGCAGTCGGATATCATACTCCTACGCATGTCACGGTGGACCCCCCCCCTCTGGCTCGCTCGACATTTCACTGTATGTCCGGCCTCTGCTGCGTGCGCAAGTTGAACGGTTGCGAAACTCTGAAGTGCGCGCTGTTGTTGACGTTCACGTGGTTCATTTCATGCAGGAGCGGTCGCGCATGCGATCTGAATCGATGACGACTCCATTCGTGGACCTCGAAGCGGCGCTTCACCATGCGACTTGCGAAATACTCATCCGACTTGAGGAGGGGGGAGATTGCCGACGAACGGATTGCTCAGCTGCTGTGTGCTTCTGGTTTGCCACCTGCTTGCGGACCAGGCAATGCGCTTGCTGCCCAGCTGTTTTTGCTCGTCGTTTTCATGGGTGCTCGGGGGGCCCGGGGCCGTCTTGAGGATGCTGGGCTTCTTCAGGAGCTGGGGGCCCCCTCGGCCAGGGCCCTGGGCCCCCTTGCGCAGTGCGGCGCCAAGGTATCAACTAATGACGCGGGGCCCTGCAGGCTCCATCGCTCAGAAGACTCAGTGCCTCGTGGCGATCGTCGCCGACGCCGTCGACTACTTCACCCCTGCGGGCCTCAAGATCAACGTGGGCCCCAACAAGACTGCCCTTCTTGCGGCCTTCAAGGGGCCCGGGGCAACCGCGGCCCGCAAGAAGTTCTGGGTCGAGGAGGGCGGGGGTTCGATTCCATCTACCTGCGCGTCTCCCACGGGGCTTTTTCTGGAGGCGGCCCATGCGCGTGGGCGCGTGGGAGAGACGGTTTCGGATAAGCAATATGTGGCGCCCGAGTTGGCGCGTCGGGCCTCGCCGACGCCGTCGCCGCTGCAGGCTCAAGCAGAGGTTGTTTCCCCAGCGCGCAATTCGCCCTGCAGGGCGAGCTGCAACTCGCGGGCCTGTTGATCATGTCTGGCAGGCTTTCATCGCGGCCACGTCGCCGCAAGCCTCTTGCGATCACTATAATCGCAACAGGTCTGGTATCATTCGGATCTGCCGCTCTGTCCCGGGCAAGCCCGCCTACGATGATGGGGCGGGTCTAGGTCGAGCTATCCTGGCAGCTGCTCAGTGTTGTGACGTATCTGCCATGCTAAGGTGGCACCGCTTGCGCTACCTCAGCCGTCTGCGCCGACGTGCTCCCGGGGTCTTGTTTGGGCTGACTAGTACCGCGTTTGAACCTAGGCGCTCCTGGTTCAACGCGGTTCCAGATGATCTGCATTGGCTTCGTATTCGGGCATTGAGGCCACATGAGTTCCCCAGTCCTTTCTCGGAGTTCGGGCCCTGGGAGAAGGAGATGCTAGGGCGGGGACAGCGCTGGGCTAAACAAGTGAAGTCGGGGATCGAGGCCCATGCGCGTTAAATGCGCTGAGTAGAAGACGCCAGACAGCGGGCGCAGGCTTTGTTCCAGCATGCTAAGAGCTTTGGTGTGCCACCAGATCTCTCTCTGAAGCCAGCGCCTGCATCTGTTGTGCATCGCCGCCCGGTCTGCGAGTTCGCCCCCCCCCCCCCCCGAGCGTGCAGCTGCGAAGCAACGTATCGCCAGGATGCGCCGCAAACGATGCGCGGTGTCTGCGAGATACGAGGCTAGCAGTGCGTGCCCGATTTGCCTGGTTCGGTTTAGCTCCGTGGAGCTGAGTATCGACCGCCTTGCATTTGGGAGTCCTAACGGCTATATTTCGGCTTACTTTTACCTGGCCCCTGAGGCCCCTGAAATTCTCGATGAGGCGCGGGCCCTTGAGGCCTCGAAAAGACGACAAGCCCACAAGGAAGGTGCCATGAGAAGGGGGGCCTGGCTTCCCGCCCATCGTGTTCCTGGCCCGGTGAATGCCTCCCAGCAAATTCAGTTGCCCCCGCGCGGGCGCCTGGCAGGTCATCAGACCCATGTATTATCAGTATGATGATGTTCCGGTGCCCCTGTTTGAGGTCCAAGAGGTACCCAATTACGAGGCTCCTCAGGAGGTGCGCATGTTTTTGAGCCTCTTGAGTGTAATTTCCCCGCTGGTGACTGTTGTCCGCGGCCTCTTCAATTTGCGGTGCCTGCATTCTTGCATTTGCCCTCGGGAGCTAGGCGAGCAGGTGCTGCGCGGGAAGAACCGGGGCGTGTCTTTGCGACGGGACCGCTTGCCATTGTTGTTCTATGGTGTGACGTGGCATGTGATCCTGTCAATGGCGACTGGACTCGCGCGGACATCGCTTGCAAGTGGGACTTGCTCCTGAGAGCAGGTCGTGCGAAAGGCCTCATTGAAGGCCCTCCATGTGAGACTTGGTCTGCTGCGAGGTGGCAGGAAGTAAGAGTTGCGGATCGGCGTCGCCCACCTGCTCCGATTCGCACTCTCAAGCGCAGGTGGGGTCGCCCTGACGTAGGTGTGCGACAATATCAGCAGCTCCCCGTCGGTTCTCAGCTCCTGCTCAGCTAGCACCAGTTGGTGCTGACTTGCCTCGAAGTAGGAGCGCGTGCTCTGAAGAATCATCCAGACGTTGCTCGCTGGGAGGAGAGGGCGCCAAGCTCGTGGCTGCCAGCCGCGTCGTGCGCTCTGAGTGCGGCACCTCCTTCCAGGACAGTCTCGTTTGACCCGTGTGCGTTCGGGTAACTGAGCAAGTTGCCGACCGCGCTCCCGCGCGTGAGGTCGGACTCCCATGTCGAGGAAATCCAGGGCCAATGCATGCTGGGACCCCCATCCCCGCAAGATCCATGCCACTCTCCTCGGCGTTGACCCAGAGACTAGTTGATGGAGAAGGGCCCCCAAGAAGAGGCGCCCGCGAGAGCTGCGCGCTGCCGTGGCCCGAGCTGTTGCCAGTTTCGTGGGTTAAGCGTGCCGGCTATGTGAGGGGGCAGAACTTCATCCGAGTGATCTCCCCGATGAACTGAGTGCGTTTTTTTCTCAGGCCCCTGATCCGTGCGCTGACAGCGCTGTGGAGGATAAGGCTGACATAGCTTTGGATTTCGCTGGGCTCAAGATTAAGAGATACGGGGGCGCCCGCTTTGATCGCCCTCGGGCCCCCTCTCGTGCCCCCCCCCCGCGGGCCCTGCGGAGACCGCGTCAGCGAATTTTGGTCCGCGGCCCGAGGAGGAACCCGACCCCTGGTCTGGGTTGGCGGACCCGTGGGAGGAGGAAGGCACGTTGAGGGCTCGTGAGGCTCCTGGGGGCCCTTGGGTCCCCCCCCTCCTCGTCCTCCTCCTCCTCTTCCCACCCCCCCCCTGCCCGCGTCGAGCTCGCGGGGGCTCTCCGCCGCCGCGCCCAGGCGGGGAGGGGGCGGGCTCGGCATCGACAAGTTGTGCGACGAGCCCTGCCGCCTGGAGGATTCTGGTCTTCTGCCGACTTCCCCCCCGTCCCCGAGAGAGGAGGAGGGGCGGGCCCAGGCCGTGCAGGAGCGTGCTCTGCTCCGCTGCGCGGCAGCGCGAGGCCCAGGAACGGCGGGGCGACGGGGCCCCTCGCCTGTCCTCTTGCCCCCCTTCTCTCTTGCACTCATGATGTGCATTCGCGCGCGTGGTTGTCGATGAGCCCTCATTGGTCAGAATGGTCAGAATGGTCTTCCTCCTCCCCCTCATCCTCGCCCACTTCTTGTCCTTATAAATCACAGCCCCCCGTCGCACCCCGAGGCTAGTTTTCAGGGCGGCCCCGGCATTTCGCGTCAGACTTTCTCACCACTTATGATTCTGACGCTTCAGAAGCGGTAGCAACTTCGCGGATGGAGGGCGGGCGGTTCTCAACATGTGGCTCTCGCATTAGCGCCGCGCACATTCTTTGTGACAGTTTGCAAGAGCTTCGCGGATTGAGGGCAGGTGGTTATCAGGATGTGGTTTTCGCCTTAGTGCCGCGCGCATTCGTTTTAAACATTTGCAAGATTTCACTGGTTGAAGGCGGTTGGTTTTCAAAATGTGGCTGTCGCCGTCGCGCCGCGAACCTTTGTTATTCTAATTGCAAGAGGTTCGCGGGTTGGGGGCGGTTCCTTTCCAAACTGTGGCTCTCGCCGTGGCCCCGCGCGCAGTCTTGTCAAACGTTTGCAAGCGTTTCAGCCACTGAAGGCGGTTCGTTTTCAAACCGTGGCTCTCGCTTTAGCGCCGCGCGCATTCGTTTGTTTCAAACATTTGCAACAGCTTGACGGATTGAGGGCGGGTGGTATTCAAAATGCGGCTCTCGCCTCAGCGCGCACACTCTGCTCAAACAGTTGCAGAAGCTTCACCGTCTGAGGGCGGGTGGTTTTCAGAATGTGGTTTTCGCCCCAGCGCCGCGCGCATTCTTGTCAAACGTTTGCAGAGGATTTCAGTGATTGAAGGCGGCTCGTTTTCAAAATGTGGCTCTCGCCTTAGCGCCGCGAGCGTTCGTTTCAAACATTTGCTAGAGCTTGACGGATTGAGGGCGGGTGGTATTCAAAATGCGGCTCTCGCCTCAGCGCGCACATTCTGTTCAAATCGTTGCAAGAGTTTCACGGGTTGAGGGCGGGTGGTTTTCAGAATGTGGTTTTCGTCCCTACACCGCGCGCATTTTTCTAAGATTTGCAAGGGTTTCACACATTCCCATGACCAACGTACCAGAAAATATGTTTGCTACGGATTATGGATTATGCGGGTATAACAGTTATGTTGGTTCGCGGTGTTGAAGTCCCAAACAAGGCGTTTTGTCGCGATTCCAAAACGTCAAAACGCAGCAGTCAAGTTTATCCGTGACGTTGAAATCCCGAGAGCAATGTTTTGGCACGCTTCCTCATACAGTCGGCGGCCCACCCAGGGGGAAATGGAGTATGGGCAGGCTTTCTCAGAAGGCCATGGGGCATCCGCGTTTCCGGACAAGGCCCCCTGTCGGAGGCGACGGTCGTGGCGAATGGCATTTTATGTGGGGGTTGCTGAAAGCGCCTTTGGCCCAAGGTGCCCCCAGCCTGCTGCTCGATGTCGCAGCCTCTGGGGCCCCCTGGACCTCGTGAGGGGCGTCCTGGAGGCCGTGGGGGCCTCCTTGGAAATCCTGGGGGCATCTTGGGCCAGGGGGCGCCCACTGGGCACACGTGTTGCGCTCCCCTTGGGCCATCCGCCCGCGCCGTCGCCCCCGACCGTGCCCTTCGCTGCCGGAGGACGCGGTGTGCGAGTCGCTGCGGCCCGAGGCGGTCGCCCCCCCAGGCTGAGCCGCGGTGCCCTGTGGGGGGTCGGCTGGCCTGGGCGACCCTGGCGGCGTTTGGCCGCAGGATGCCGGGCGCGACCTTGCGCGGGCGAGGCAGAAACATCGAGGATGAGAAGGGTGAGAGGGCGAGCTCGGACGGGGCCAGGGCGAGGATGAACCCGTTCCGTTCCGACGCGCTCTCAGGGCGTCCCCGAACGCTCGGAAAAGGCCGCGGCGCCCGAGACATCCTTTCCAAAGCCGCCAGATTTCGGAGATTCTCGATTTATCCTGACCCGATTTTATCCTCGTCCTGGCTCCGTCTGGCGAGGAGGAGCGCGAGAGGGAGGATGATACGTAAGGGGGCGGCCGGTCTTCTCTGCAGCGCGGCGGGCAGCTGCGCCAAGCATGTATCGAAGACACGCCTACGGCGAATCACCGCCGCCCCCTGCCTTCTGGAATCGCCCATGTGGCCGAGCGTTGTGGCAGGAGCTCTTCCAAGCTATCGGACCATGTGTTCCCCCAGCCGTTGTGGAAACTCTTCGGGGAACACGTGGGGGAGGATGGCGGGGAAAATCAGGAGGAGGCGGAGGAGGAGGAGGTGGAGGAGGAGGAGGAGGTGGAGGAGGAGGAGGAAAAGGAGGAGGAAGAGGGGGCATCTTGGGAGCCTGTGGGGACACTCTTGGAACCTCCTGGGAGCTTCGTGGGAGCCTCTGGGAGGCACATTGGGGGCACTTTTGGAGGCCTCCTGGGGGCCTTCGGGGGCTTCTCGGGGGCCTCTTTGGCCATCTTGGTGGGCGGGCCACTCTGAGCCGACTTGGGGCCCTCTTGGGGCGCTCCAGGGCCGTCTTGGAGGCCATCTTGGGCGTCTTGGAGGCCTCCTGGGCCGTCTTGGGGCCCTCTTGGTTGGGCCCGTCTTGGAGGCCTCTTGGGCTGCTCTGGGGCCATCCTGAAGGCCGCTTGGGCGATCTTTGGGGGCTCTTGGGCCGCCTCGGGCCGTCGGAAGGCCGAAAAGAAGCAAATGCCAAAATCCGAAGAAAAAACCTAACGATAATCAATGATTTTGGCCTCTTCGGGCTTTTCTGGGGGCTCTCTTGGAGGCCTCTGGGGCCATCTTAGGGCGATCTTCGGCCGTCTTGGTGGGCTCTTGGCCCGTCTGACTCCGTCGGTTTGGGGGCCTCTCTGGGCCGACTTGGGGCCCTCTTGGAATGCTCTAGGGCCATCTTAGAAACTGTCTTGGGCGTCTTGGAGGCCTGTTGGGCCGTCGTTGGGCTGTCTTGGGCCCGTCTTGGAGGCCTCTTGGGCCGTTCTGTAGCCATCTTGGAGGCCTCTTGGGGCCGTCTTGGGCGCTCTGGGGGCGATATTGGGGGCCTCTTGGGCCGTCTTGGGTCGTCGGAAGGCCGACAAAGAGCAAAAACGAAAATGGCTCAAAAACCTAAGGAACATCAATGATTGTAGCATCTTCTGGCCCTCCTGGAGGACCTCTCGGAGGCCTGTTGGGCCGTCTTGGAGGCCTCTTGGACACCTCTTGGGCAGTCTTGGGCCGTCTTGGAGGCTTCTTGGGCGTATCTGGAAGTACCTTTGACCCTCTCAGGCCGTCTTGGATGCCATCTTGGCCATCTTGGAGGCATCTTTGAGGCCAGCTTGGGCCATCTTGGAGCCATCTGGAGGTCTGGAGGCGAAAAACCCTCTGCAACCACCTTTTATGCACTTTTCTGGGTGGCCGGCGGGACGGGCCGAAGCCCCAGGGAGTTTTCTAAAAGAATTAAAACCAAAAGGGTTCAGCATGCCGGGCACCTCTGTGGCAAGCCAACAGGGGGCGGCGGATCGAAGACGCCTACGGCGAATCACCGCCGCCCCCTGCCTTTTTGGAAGCGCCTATGTGGCCGACATTTGGGGGAGAGCTTGGCCAAGCCATCGGACCATGTGTTCCCCGAGTCGGTTTGGAAAGCCTCCGGGGAACACTTGGGGGAAGGCGAGGAAGAGGAGGAGAGGGATGAAAAAGCAGGAGGAGGCCTCTCGGGAGCCTCTTGGGGCACTCTTGGGCTCTTGGGGCTTTCTGGGAGCCTCCTGGAGGACCTCCTGGAGGCCTTTTGGGCCGTCCTGGGCCATCTTGAGACCATCTTGGGTCATCTTGGGTGCATCTTGGGCCGTCTTGGAAACATGTGCAAACCATCTTGGGTTCTCTTGGGGCCATCGTGGCTATCTTGGAAACCATGTTGGCCGTCTTGGAGGCCACCTTGGGGCCGTCTCGCTTGGGAAGATCGACGACCTGGAGAGTTCACGGGCCCTTATTCCGTCCCGGCGGGACGGGTCGAAGCCCCAGGGGGAGTTCTGAAAGAACCAACACCGAAAGGGTTTCGCACGCCGGGCACCCTTGTGGCAAGCCAACAGGGGGCGGCTGATCGAAGACGCCTACGGCGAATCACCGCCGCCCCCTGCCTTTTGGGAAGCGCCTATGTGGCCGAACGTTGAGGCCCGACCTGCCAAGCTATCGGACCATGTGTTCCCCGAATCGGTTTGGAAAGCCTTCGGGGAACACGTGGGCATCTTGAAGGTCATCTTGGCCGTCGGGAGGCCATTTTGACCCTTTCGGGCCTTCTTGGAGGACGTCTTGGAGGGCTCTCGGTCCGTCTTGGAGGCCATCTTGAGCGTCTTGGAGGCCTCTTGGGCCGTCTTGATGGCCTCTTGGGGCCGTCTTGGGGGCCTCTTGGGGCCGTCTTGGGCGTCTTGGGCGATCTTTGGGGGCACTTGGGCCGTCTCGGGCCGTCGGAAGGCCGAAAACAAGCAAATGGCACAATCCTTCAAAAACGCATGGGAAATCTTGGCCTTTTCGGGCCTTCTTGTCGGCCCTCTTGGAGGCCTCTTGGGTCGTCTTGGGCCATCTTAGGGCCATCTTCGGCCGTCTTGATGGGCTCCTTGCCCGTCTGACGCCGTCGGAAGCCGTTTGGGGGGCCTCTCTGGGCCGACTTGGGGCCCTCTTGGAATGCTCCAGGGCCGTCTTGGAGGCCATTTTGGGCGTCTGCAATGCCTCCTGGGCCGTCTTGGGGGTCTCTTGGGGCCGTCTTGGGGGCCTCTTGGGCCGTTCTGGGGCCATCTTCGAGGCCTCTTGGGCGATCTTTGGGCGTTCTTTGGGGTCTCTTGGGCCATCTCGGGCCGTCGGAAGGCCGAAAAGAAGCAAATATCAAAATCCGTCGAAAACCGAAGGACGATCAGTGTTTTTGGCCTTTTCTGGCCTTCCTGGAGGCCCTCTTGGAGGCCTCTTGGGCCGTCTTGGGCCACCTTCGAGCCAACTTCGGCCATCTTGGTGGGTTCCTGGCCCGTCTGACGCCGTCGGGAGCCGTCTTGGGAGCCTCTCTGAACCGACTTGGGGTCCTCTTGGGGCGCTTCGGGGCCGTTTTGGAGGCCATCTTGGG